GTGTTGGTGTTGGTGTTGGTGGTGTGGGTAGTAGTGGTGGTGCTGGTGGTGCTGGTGCTGGGTCTGGTGTTGTCCTAAATCGGTTTTCGTTGTCGGTGTCTTTGTCGTCGTTGTTGTTGTCGTCGTCGAGGAGCAGTGGGAGTAGGAGTAGGAGTAAGAGTAGTGCTACTGGTGCTGGTCGCGGTGGCGGTGGTGCTGGTGGTGGTTTTTGTTTTTGTTTTTCTTGCTCTTATCATTGCTGGTGTGATTACGAAAATAGTATTAATGCTGCTATCACGAAGAATCCTTAAGTAGCAACAAAGGCACAAAGGGCATCAAACAACAATTTCTGATATGGCTTTGATGTGACCAACAAAGGCACAAAGGGGATCTAGCAAATATTTTTGGTATGGCCTTGATATGACCTGGACATGAAAGACGAACATAAGTTACAACAGGAGTTGATGATTCGGATACAGGTTCGAGTACAGCTTAGATAATACGCTTTCTGATGCAGGTTTTTATGTGGTTCTCAATAGACTTTGTGACACAACTTTCATACAGACTCAATTGGGAGGCAGAAGGCCAGGCAGGATGTCCAGCCCCCAAATCGTATGCAAATCATATTCCAGGAGACAAGATTCGAGGTTTTCGTATTCGGGTTTCCAAAAATGCGATTTGGACACGACTCGGGGTCTATCCAGGGTCAGGGTCTACCGTTCCCAGATTACGTTTTGCATGCGGAATGAATATAATCCCAACAAGTGGATACAAAGCTGTCTTCAAAGTATATTAAAGTTGCATGATTTTTTGTGAATCGTAGTCCAAGCTTTTCGTATCCAAAGAGTAGCAAAAGTCTGTATTGCCATGCACATCCCGCCGTGTATCCAGGGGTGCGTCATTCTTGTATTTATTCTGTGTTGTGAAAATATATTCGTGTGAAAACTGTATTCCCAAATCGTATCTATGTCAACTAAATGCTGCACGTAAAATTTGCGTGCCGATTTGTTGATTTTTGCAAAAATTCAACAATCCAAAAATGACAGCATGTCGTTAGTTGCTGCGTTTTCGCAAAGAATTTAAAAATCCAAAAATGCCTCGGCCCAGCTTCCTTGCCAGTTTACGGATTTTCGCAATCTTCAAATTTTCGCAACAATTTGTTTGCAAATTTTGGCAAAAACTTGCAAGATTTCGCAAAAATCAGCAAATGTTCGCAAACAATTCAAAAAATGCAAAAACTTGCAAACTGTCGCAAAAATCTGCAATTTTTCGCAAAAACCTGCGAGTTTTCCCAAACTCGCAAAATCTACAAATGGTCGCAAAAATCTATAAAATTTCGCAAAAATCTGTAAATTTCCGAAAAAATCTTGAAAGTTTCACCAAAATTTAGAAATGTTCGCAAAAAACACGTGCTTCGGGCCCACGAGCCTATCAAGAAATCTAAATGTTTTTCGAATTCCGTGTATTCGCCCCAAACCAAATCGCGTAAATCTCGCGAATCGTTTCACTGCCACATAGTCGTATAAGCACTCATAATATTACCATGATCATAAAAGAAAATCCCGATTTCCAACTTTTCTATGACTTACAGAGTTTTGACGCAATCATTTATTGTTGTCAGTAATACGAGTGCCACGACTCGCGCTATTTCTAGTACGGAGTTTTCTGATTTTTGTTATTATCATTATTGCCATTCCAATGATGATGATTACTATTATGACGATTGCTATGACGATTACGTTTTCCTGTGGTTATTGCTTTATTGCTTCTACTATTCAGTATTGCTCTTACTCGTATTTTAATACTTCGTACAACTACTATTCGTTATTGTTCCTGTTATGATTACTCCGGCAGTGGCGGCGGCGGCGATGATGAGGAAGAGGACGTGCTGCTGGTTCTGCTGCTGGTGGTGGTGGTGATGGTGGTGGTGGTTGTGGTGGTGGTGGTGGTGGTGGTGGTTGTGGTGGTGGTGCTGCTGCTGCTGCTGCTGCTGCTGCTGGTGGTGGTGGTGGTGGTGGTGGTGGTGGTACAAAATATCGTTTGCAAAACCACACTAGTGCCAATGTTTGAAAAGTCGATCGCGCAAATGGCCGGGCCCACCCTGAGGCACAATCACGCCGGCGGCCAACACCTGCTACCACCTGCAGTTCGATGCAACCTGGCAGTCTTTCAACAGTGGTCCCCGCGAATAACAAAACTAATCGAGGGGTACCTCTTGTGTCTCTATCATAGACGCCTGACATCACGAAGCAACAGTCTCATCACGTCTACAATCATCGGCACCCCTACCACCAACACCACCACTACCATCACGTTGGCCGCAAGGCGAGCGCGTGGCAGACCCTATTCAAGGTTGACACCAGTGCAGTATCCGGAGTGGCCTTCTTTGCGGAGCATGTGCCAACAGAGTTCGAAGCAACAGCACACTACTTGAAGGACCTTTTGTTTGAGCAGGCTGGCGAATGATAATTATGTAGCAATTGCAAGCATAGTTGCAAAATGCAGAGTACAACGATGCCTTCTGGTGGCAAGATAAACAGTGCTCGAGCTGGCAATATTAAGTTGCTTTTACAGCTGGGCCCATCCTGCCTATCCTGAAGGGACAAGACTTGTTGAATCTGATTGGGACAGTCATCCTGAAGCCCCTCAAGCCCAGAGGATCCTACAGCCTGAACCGCTGAGCCTGTATCATTTCCCCCTGTAGACTGAACCGCGTAGTTGACCTGCAACTGAACGGAGTTCATAAGACATAAGACATAACATCAACCAAATATCTTGTTGTCTTAGTCTTATCTAGGCAGATGGAGTACAGAAACCGAGAAGCCACAGCATGGCTCATGAAAAGAGCAGTTGCCTTGCCAGCGCGCGTGTGTCCTGATTATTCGCTTCTCCCTACAGCCTCTCCCCACATATTTTTGTCCTGGGGGCGTATTGGGGGGGCGTTCAGTGTGAGCGGAAGCAATGAGGGTGGAACCCGGAAAGTTGGAAAGCGCAGCGCGTTTCGGCGCAACAGAGCTTGAAACTGCGCCTTCCAAAATTCACTTTCCCATCAATACCCAGCCTAGGGGGTGTTTTCCAACTGTACCTTGTGTGCCACTTCGCGCACTTGTCCACGCGGTCACGCCCCGCACACCAGCATGCCAAGAAATCTTACCACGTGGGCCGCGTCCCTGCAACTGGGGGATTTGCACTCCCTGTTTCCCTCCCATCTCTCTCCCTTTCTCTGTTCCCCGCTCTCGACTCTTTTCACCTCTCCCGTCCCCTCACGCTCTCCTTCACTTTCTCCAAATATGTCTCCCGCCCAGGTCCCCCTCCACATTTTTACGTCTTGCCCTCTCAAGCAAGCCACCATGACACGCATACAAGAGAGAAAGCTATGTGTTGTGGCCGCCAGCGCCAAGGCTCACCCTTAGATGTTCGGTTTTATTTGTTCTGGATTGCAAAGTTGGACAGTGTTAAGTTGGAGGAGCAGACATCGGAAAACACAAAATCAAGGTTGGAAGCTGTTATTATCACGAATCGCGCGGGGAACTCCAGGAAACGCTTTCAAAGTTTTTGGCTTCCACTGTACCAGGACGGCGTGGGCACGGACATCGAGCCTCTTGGCGAATTGCCGGAAAAGGCGCCAGTGGAAGTTACCACAGACGCAGGGGCCTTTCTGGCAGCCTTCCTGGCAACTTGGACTTCAAGTTATGCTGTTATTATGTATCATGATCCCTTCGGTCAAAATCGGGACTCCGGGGGACGTGTTGGAGAGGGCTGAGGGTGCAGGACCCCGCTTAATAAGTTGTAAGCAGTGTGAAGTTGAGTGTCCTTTCCGTGGTTGACAACTCGGACGCTTGCGTTGCTGAAGTGCAATGATCAACTATAGCAGCCAAGTGTTGGGCTTACGGTACGTACAATTCCGCGTGAGTTGTAGGATGTGGTTTCATGACGTTCCGCAGGCTTTCCTTCTGCTGAAGCGGCTCCGGCGGTTTTGAGGTTTGCAGGTTTGGGGCGTTGAAGGCCTGCGTGGTGACTTGGGTAGTTCCAACCTTTAACGTGTTTTTGCGGCGAGTCACAATACTGCACTACAGGATTACAATGTGGCGGGACTGTTGAGACCTTTGTGAGGAATGCAGCGTGGGAGGCTTGTGTGGCACTTTCGAAGGCTCATGCACGCGTCAAAGGTATTTTTTGGAATGAGGCTTTGGGTTTAGGGACCCAGCGTTGACCGCATCTCAGTTGGTGATCGACTCCGGGATCTGGGATCCATTAAAACAGGGGGCGATGTGGGGCTGTTTTACTTCATGCTACTTCGTTTCAGCACTGCGCGGCCTTTCTTCCCTGAAGAAGTTTTCCTGCACTTGTCCCTGAAATACTAAATAGATCCCACAGATTCAAAATTTCCTGCACACAAAGTGTCGGCGTGACGCTACAACCTCAGCTCAATCAAATCGGCCACCAGTAAGGTGAACTTGGTGACCTTCATCGGGGTGATCCTGATGTTTGGCCCGCTGAAAAGGATCACTGGCCTCCATACTCGGGTAACTGTGTATAGTAGGATAATCAGGAAGAAGAGGGGTCATGAAGTCGCCACACTTCAGTTTGGGGATATTGCTTTGTGGCGTCTCTTTTGGTGGCGGGGCGGCCGGGGAACCTAATCCATGCAAGGCTGGTCCAGAAGCCTGTGTTCAGTGCAATGCTCTTCGCGTTCGCTGCTGGTGCTTTGCTTGCCTGTGCCTTCTTCCTGCTGCTCTTTGAGTCGACGCATCTCATTGGAGTGGGTTGGAAGACAGAGGTGGGCATTTCTCCAAACTAGGGTCCCTAGATCTTACCCGGACGACCGAGGAACCCCTACTGGTCGTCTTGCGATAAGGGCACAGACTAGCCAAGCTGATGCAAGCTGTAGTGTTCCCAGGTGGACATTGTTTGGCGATGGGGTGCAATGATCCTTGCCGGCATGGTGGTGCCTCCGGTGGTAGAGACAGTCATCAGCCTGATCATGATGGCCCGTGGTCAGGGGGAGTCCACCTCTAGTGACCCTGTGAGGACTATGCCGGAGGATCCTGAGAAGGAGCCTGCAGAGCTGCAAGGCATGGACGACGCACAGAAATTCAGGGCCAAGGCTCGACTGTTGGGAGCTGTGATCATCGGGGACTTCTTCCACAATCTCTGCGACGGCTTCTTCATTGGGGCAGCCTTCCAAGGTTGCGGGAATGCCTTTGGCTGGAGTGTGGCTGCTGGCACCATCCTGCATGAGCTTCCTCAGGAGATCGCGGACTTCGTCATTTTGACTGGCCCGGTGGCCAAATTGTCCACTCCAAAGGCCTTGGCCTTCAACTTCCTCAGCGGCCTCAGCGTCTTGATGGGGGCACTCATCATCGCTGCCACACCGGTTGACGATTCCCTCGTTGGCCTTATCTTGGCTTTCGGTGGTGGAGTTTACCTGCACGTCGGTGCTACTGACTGCCTGCCGAAGATGTACGACCCCAAGCTCACCTTCGGAGAGCGCCTTCTCGCCTTCCTGTCCTTTGGCATCGGGGCAGTTTGTATTGGCTTGATTCTGATTGGCCACGAGCACTGTGTTCCCGCAGGAGGGGACGGTCATGATCATGGCTCAGGTCACGATGGACACGCCCACTAATTAGTTCGCTGCAGCCATGTGGCTAGGTCTGGCCCCCGGGTTCAGACCTAAAACCTTGTGGTTGAAATTATGACAAGCAAAAACTGTGCCGTAGTCGCACTGGCTTGCCATAGCAGGCATGAATCCGCGAAGCGGATGCCGAAGAGGGTGGTTTTCTTTTTTGTTGGCCTGGCTGTAGGTATTTTGGCCACAGCCTGGCATTTTCTGCCATCGGCGATGCTGAATCACTCTCTTCGCCGTGGGCCGCAGAAGTGTAAGAGCTCATGCTGGCCGCAGAACTGTACTGTAGTTGTAAGAGCTCTTGCTGCGATTTTCAACACTTCGCAGTGATCCTGTTGTGTTCACATGGCCACTAAAGGCTTGGCCAGGTAAATTCGTATTTAGGGCTGATGGACATGTGACATGTTGGCCACTTGTGAAACCCCAGGAACTTCTTCATGCTGCTTCGTTCGGAGAACGGGCGCACCCATAAACAGCACCCATAAACAGGGGCAGGACGGGAAAAAGGAGGCGCATATGGCCCGCAGAGGATTGCACCACCCTCCATGTACACCATTGTGGCCAGTGCGTCGTGGCCCCAGGCCATTCCAGAGTGGTTCTTACATAGTCCTTCCCGATAGGGATACTACTGTTCCCCACGGCAGGATGTCGTCTTAGTTTCGATGTTGCTAGATCAACCGCATCACCAGGGAAGGGTCCCCGTAAACCCAAGCGTGCAAGGACAGCCGGACGATGATGCTCGCATCTGCACTGATCACAGGAGCCCTTGCCCCTCGTCACAGATGCTTGCGTGGATTCCGTTTGGATCCAAGATGGTCCTAAGCATCTGTGTATTGCGTGAGACGGGGAAAACATCTGGTGTTCGGGTTTGGCTTAATGCTGCATGGCATGCATGGCGGGAGTGTGTTGTGTGATTAGTTAATTTCCAGGAGACCGTAATGCCAGATGCTGAACGCGAATCATCGAAGCACCTCCGATTGCTTCAAAGCCACCCCGCTCAAGTCAGGTATCCGCGATGGTGGGCCTAGCAGTGCTAGGCGTGGTGAGGCGCAGTTGCTTCTGTGATTCATTCCATGAATAGATTGGATACTCTGTTCTGATTGATAGAAATCTAGATGATTCTAGATGTAGTTTGGTGCGTTTCTGGTGTGTTTTTTTTTCTGTTTTCTATGCTCCCTTATTAGGCACCGTTTTGGCTGGATTGTGTTTTTCCTTTTTGGGCTGGGGTGGTTTGCCCAACGCACTGCCCTACAATTTAAGAACGCAGGGTACTGGCAAGCACCCCAGGTCAAACTCATGCATGTAGATATGTGTGTATATGTGTACATATAATTCATACTAGGTTATTACATGCTAGATATCTATAATACATGAGCCAGATAGCTTTCGGGCTCGCAGCTTTTGGCAGCAGTCCTCTGCCGTGTACGACCCTTCCCCATCAGATGGCAACCCCTCCAAGCATGAGGAACAAAGTGCCAGACTCTAAAGGCGATGATCTAGGCGGCAAACTCGAAGCTTTGGACAACACCTTAGTTCAACTACCACCCAAGACTGGTTCAAGATCCTCATGTCCTGTCATGCCGTGAGTGGTGGAGACCGAGAGAGAAGGAGAGAGAGATCTGCGTGGCCCTTCCCGTACTTATGACTTATCGGGAACCAGTTATGGTTGGGAGCGGGGTGCTGTTTTAGGTGCAGGCGGGTCACCCAAGCATAGATTCCTCGATCCCCGTAGACATTACGAGGGTTGGGGAGGGCCCTGCATCACCGTGCAAGGCATTTTGGTGCATCTTTCCGCAAGGATTACAGCCACTTGAATTGTAGAGGTGCTATAATTAGTTGCTCATTGTCAAAAATAGCTGAACTAATTCTTGAGGATTGGCGGTTTCATCGCTTGGGGTGGATTGCGGAAAGCTTCTCGATGCTTTAGCAGATTGGAGATGCGCCTTCCTCTTCCTAAGTCATGGCTCATCATTCTAGCTGTTGATGACTTAGAGTTGCCTGGTCAAATCAAAGGGCCTACGTGCCTACCAATACGTAGACACACACTGCTCCAAAGGGCTTCTCCCTGAAATGAGAGTAGCTTTGCTCAGATACCACGAAACCCCTGTGGTGATTACATTCATCCACCAGTGAACAAGCTCCTTTCAAAGGGCAATGTTGGGTCCATTTTGATGCCCTTCAAATCCAGCGCATGTGTCGTGGGAGTTTTTGACACCTCGTGCCCGGTGAAGGCCAGGTTCATGGGATGCTTGAATTTGTTTTGTTTGGGGCTTTGTATGTAGCGTTAGCATCTATGGAAAGCCCGCCGAAGAACAAGAAGGCAGGTAGTTGCTTCTAAGGACCATAGGGCTCCTTTCCTTTCGGGCCCAGACGCTGCGGGTTGTGGTCGTAGGGTGGGCCAGGAGAGGAAGCAGGATCTGGCATCAACGCATAACCAGAGGAGATGAAATTAAGCCTGTGCCACAAGGCCAAACTTACGCGAGGGCACAAGCAGAACAAAATCCCATTATTGCTTGGGAATGCCGAAGCTCAGGATTCTTCCTGTGCCACCACAAGATGGCCGCGGGCAGCCTGGCACGGCTGCTGAAGCAGCTTGGCTTTCAAGGGTCCTTGTTCGTGGCCCTACAGACCACGGTTTGAAGATGGCTTTGGAATTAAAAGCGACGATGCAGCTTCCTGGGCAACGTGAAAAGTGTGTTGAGCAAGCTCTGGGATGCCCTGATTCTCTAGGGATCATGTCATATAGCTTTTTTCAAGGCCCCAAAAGCTCTGCACCCCTCTCAAAGCTGTGCCACCTGAATTGAGCTGCCAGATCCGCCCTTCACAATCCTTATCAGCAACTCTGGATTACCGCCTTTGATTTCAACACAGTTGTGAGATACGCTTATCCCAAAACCATGGTGAAAATCATTCAGGCTCCTGCAGTACTCATAGTTCTAGGATCACTGTGAAGTGGGTTTGGTGATTTGGGGTGCACAAGGAGAGCCTTGACTTGGAGTGCGTTCAGAGATGCCGTTTAGTGCCTCTTCTCATTAGATTCATGGGGTGAAGCAGCTTGGATGTATGCATGGACAACATCGTGCTGAAATAGACTGGGACACCAGTGTACAGCCCATCACCAATATAGCAATCCCGCAGAACCTTGTCTTGGCAGGATTGAGTTTCTGAAGCGCGGTCCGGCATTCACCACCTTCGTGGACACAGATGCTGGCTTCGCACAAAAAGCTTTTGGCTTGCCTAACCCGTAGCCGTAGCCTATCAACTTCAAATACCAATCTTTCATAGCCCGAATTACCTTAAAGCCCCTAAGCCCGGGAGTTGATTGAAAAGTGGTTCAGTTTTACCAACAAGCCCAAACCCGAGAGATGCTTCAAAGGTCTATCGTAGGACCTGAAAGTGCTCCAAGCATATGGGAGATGCCCAAAGCGGTTCCTATATCGTCCTATGTGGGGACCTCCATAGCCCCTTCTTATCCCCATCGTCAGGATCCTTCAGCTTTGAGGGTGCCCCCCCCATTTCCTAGGATGACCTCACGGACCTGGCGGATCTCTTTGGGATGGCCCTGGACCTCAGAATTTTGGGACAGGGTCAAGGAAGTTTAGGCTTTCAAGAGTTCATGGAGCTTACTGTTTGGTCTGGCGGCAGAAGCGTCAGCCAGTCCTCAAACCATTCTGCCGCGCACTTCTTCGTGAATCGCGCTGACTTCCAGACGTGGAGAGCACCAGGGGAGCTGTGATCTGGCATGGAAGTTTTTTTCCTGTTCTTTTTTGATTTTGTTTTTGAAAGGGTGGCCCTGGCGTGGAGCGTGTAGGAATTTTGGCCTTTTCGCATCATTGATAAATTATGTTTTTATCATTTCCGATTCTCCCATCATTTTCATGATTTCTCATCATCTTCTATCATTTCTTATCATTTTCCTGATTCTCACAGTTTTTCTATCATGTCCATCATTCATTTTGATGATTTTCCTCATTTTCTATCATTTTTGATCACTTACTTGACTTCTGCCCTCTTTCTGTTGGCTGCTTGGGTTTTTTGGCTTTGTGGCTTCTTGGCTTTCTGGCTTCTTCGATTTCTGGCTCCGTGGTTTCTCGCTTTCTGTACTTTCCTGAAGAAGAAGAAGTAGTAGTAGTAGTAGTAGTAGTAGTAGTATTTGATGATCAGTAAGGCAGGGAGGGTAGCGCAAAGCATTTTGTTTGCAAATGGGGGCTGCTGCGCCCCCCCCAACCCCCGCCTTTGTTACGGCCATCCATGCCTGCCATTGTGATCGTTTTGAATCATCTCACTACTCTCCATGATCCCGACACCCCCTCCCCAACTTTTTGTGAGGCCGTCCAAGCTTGCTGGAGTTATGCCTTCTTGTTTGCAAATAAGGGCGGGGAGGGCTGCGCCCACCCCCAGCCCCCCCGCCTTGTTTTAATGCCATCCATGCTTCATGTCTTCATCACTTTAAATGGTTTTCATAGTGTTCCATCATTTTTAACATCAGGTTGCATCTGTTTCTCCTTTTCATCGTTTTCCACCATCATCATGTTCATGTTTTCTTTCATCATTTTTCATCATTTTATGATATTATTAGTTTTCATTATGTTTCACGATTTGTTATCATTGTTCATCATTTCCCATCACTTTCTTTCACTTGTCATCATTGTCATCCTTTTTCATTTTCCATGTTGTTATGATTTTTGTCATCCTTTATCTGCTTCCTATCGTTTTCATTTTTCAGTATTCATCACATTTGTTCGTCATTTTCTATTAATGAATGATTTTTAATTGTTCGTTACTATCATCATTTTCTATCATATTCATAACTGTTATAATTCATCGTTTTCTATATTCACATTTTCATTTTCTATCATTTCCTAATATTTCATGCTATTATATCGGTTGTCATAATTTTCTATCATTTACAGTTTTTATCATGATTTTTCATCACTCTTCACAGCTTTTGCTTCAGAATCGCGTTCTCGTGTGAGGCATCCAAAAACAAGAAGTCACAA